ATCCAACTGCAGACAAGGAGTTCAGGGTAGAAGCAGAGGCTGCACATAGGCATTTGAGATTCACCAGTGCACAGATGGTGCTTCAAACCTGAGTGTACTGAGTTCACATAGAAGCTTCCAGAACTGAACTAATAGTACTCCAAACTGTAAAGAAATCCATAAATTCCCAAAACAGGTAGTGATGTAGGGGAGGAACCACAAAGAGGGTGGGGGCCTCAGAAATTCCTCCAGAAAAGTCTCACTGTTATCACCATCCCCTCCTTAAACAATGGATCTAAGTTACATGGCCATGAAGTGGCAGCGTTGATGTGCTGCAGTACTCTACAGCAGTGACTCTTCTTCACAGGGGACATGTTCCAAGATGCCCCGTGAATGCCTGAAACTGTGGATAGCCAAACCCTCCATAGACTCAACTATGTTGTTTCCTATGCAAACTCACCTATGCTAAAATGTAGTTTATAAATTGGGCAGAGTAAAATATTAGCAGCAAAAACTAATAATAGATAATAGATAATGAATAATCTATAGTGATTATAACAATAGACTATGGTATAAGTCATTTAGAATTAGGAGTTGCTTATTTCTAGAATTTTCCATCTAATATTTTTGGACTGCTGTTCACCAGAGGCAACAAAGCACAGAGAGCGGGAAGAAGGGGAACTACTTACTGGTAGTGGTAAGAATTACCCTCGTGGAATAGAAACACACAAAAGCATTTTGTTTTATAACAAGTTTTGAGCTCCACAGTCAAAAGCTGTTTCTGGTTCATGAATCTGCTCTAATGTTTCTGGGAAGAAGGAAACTCAGCAGTCCTGGCACTGCATCAAGGAGGGAAGGGCTCACTCTGAGGTCCAGAGCAAGGATTTCAACAGTAGAGTGCACTGCAGGTTTTTTTGTTCAGATAAATAGCTAATAGATTTACTATTATTTATTGGATAAATGAAGATGCTCTATTAGGGAGCTAAGAATAATTTTATTTCAGTTGGGACAATAAAAATAATGGGGAGTTAACAGATACATTTTGTCCTGTTTTTATCATGTAGGGTAGTTTTTGCAACAACCACCGTCTTTCCAACAATAAGAGCAATGCTATTTCCAGTTCTGGATCTGCATTGCTGGACTCTGGAGTGACCTTTAGCAAGTCACTAAAGACCTTTGGGATACTTCTCTGGGCTAGAGTTTACCTAAGAATAAGGACTTGTGAGGGAGATCACTGCTAAGACCCTCTTTCTTCTCTAGAATCCATACCTATTTTTGGCAAATTGATTCCTGCGTTGAATTCCTCCAATATACCACTGCTATGTCAACTCCCAAATGCCCTGTCTATCAGGCCCCATGTGACTTTAAAATATAAACAGTGAAGCTGACAGTTCTGCAAATTAAAAATTTAAACACCCCACGTCAGGTTGCATAATTCTTGAAAGCTGATGATCTTCCCAAGTTTCCTCTGGCTTTAACTTTCCAGGCACAGGGAAGTGACAGCCCATCCCTCCTCTAACTCTTACACCACTTTATTCTGCCACTTTCAGGAGACTGATTGCTTAAAACAATCCTTCACAGAAGCACACCTTAAGCATTAGCATCAAGGATGACTGGGTGAATCAACAGTCTCAAGTCTGCGGAACCCCGAGTGTTTGCTAGGAGAGCTTCAAGGCAGTGCCACAAGCAGGGTGGCGTGCAACAACAGAGATGAATTTTCCTGGAAGTTCAAGATCAAGGCATTGGCAAGGTTGGCTTCTTTTGAGGCCCCTTTGCTTGGCTTTAGATGGCTGCCTTCTGCTGTATCCTTACTTCTTTTCATGTATGTTCCTGTTACACTGTCTTCTTTTTATAAGGACATCAATTGTATTGGATTAGAAACCATTGTAATGACCTTTTGTAAAACTAAATTACTTATTTAAAGGTTCTATCTTCCAGTACAATCACATTTGGGGGTGCTGAGGTTAGGACCATAACATATGAATTGTGTATATACAAAATTCAACCTGCAAGACCAGGGAAGCACAAGTCTCCAGTTCCCTACCTGACTCTGCTCCAGGACTGCCTGCTCATCAGCCTCCATCCCAGAGGATGTCTCTATGTTCGGTTGACTATAGGTAAAATGGATGTGTGACTTACAAAGAGAAAATGCTTACTTGGCTCACATGTCTAGAGGTTCCAGCCCAAGAATATATGGAGCCACTTCAGTGAGCCTCTAATTGGGGTTCAGGATGGTGATGACAGGAGAATGTAATAGAGAAAATTTATTACTTTATGGCCAAGAAGCAAAGAGGAAGAGGAAGAGAACCAGTCTGACAATTCCCTAAAGGTCATCCTTCCAATGACCTCAGGCCCCACCCACTAAAGGTTCCACCATCTTCCAATAGCGCCACCTTGAGGACCAAGCCTTTAACACACAGACCTTTGGGGACACACAGACCGTAGCAGTGAGATCCATAAATGATGTTAGAAATAAAAGAAAAACAGATCTTCATAATTAAGTCAGAGCTTGGACCCATCTGTCAAGACGAGTTTCACTTTGACTTCTAGTGTTCACAGAGCTCATGGTTCTAACCTCAAAACAGATGGTGTGGTTTTTGATGAGAGAGATCATGTTTGGCCTTGGAGCAACATTTTGCCCTGAATGGCACTCTGCTCCCTTGAAGCAGGGCATTTTGCTCGCTCTTTTGGAAGGACATTACCATATCATTTACCTGATGCTTAAAGGTAAGTGCAGAAAAGTGCATGGCTCCTTTTGTGTGGGGAGAAAGCCGTGATCCACTCAACGTGATCTCTAGTTTCTGAAAACCATGTCAAAAGAAGACAGAATATGTTATCTTAAATACAACATTTCCCTGAAAAACCCATTAGAGCTCTGCTCTCTGAAATTCTCTAGACCAATTTGGAGCCTCTTACAGTATTCAAACCTGAGGTAACTGAGGTTTCCATATTTTGAATTAAAGGTGTTATTCCAATGGCATTTGGGATACAGAGATGAATGAAACATTTCGATTTCAGTTGTGTTCTTTTAACAAGAAGATTACAGCAAGGCTCAGACCTAAACAGACTAATTCAAACGCTTTTGATTCTTAATTCTTTTAGTCAGAAAAATCACTACCCCAATTTCCGACTAACGCAATCTATCTTGGCTGGTGTGAATAATGAGGTGATAGATGGTGTTAGTTTAATAAATCCAGAGTTAGTGGTTCAGCTGATCTCATGAAGGCCTGCTCACAGGTCTGTGGTCCGCTGTTTGAGGCCTACTATATCCTCACCTGGACAACTCCCTTTCATTCTTTGGGTTTTCTTGTCCTCCAAAAGGGTCGTTTTCTCAGACACAGGGAGAGGAGGGAGAGGAAGAGCTGAGAACCAAGGTATTTGAGGGCCTGGACCCAGAACTAGCTGGGTTCCTCCTTCCAGCTTCTGTTGTGAGCCCAGATTCCCCACTGGGTGTTGTGTCGATCTGAGTCCCAGCCTCACCTGCTCTCACTCCTCCCTCCTGCTGACACTTCTGCTGCTGGTTGCATCCCATGTCACTTCTGCCTGCCAAAATTCAAAAGCGGGTATGACTCTTCCTTTCTTCTACTTGCCTTCTCTTCCTCTTCCCTTATCTCCAAGGCCACCTGCTCCCTAGACACACTTCCACTTGCCCTGGGAGGAATACAAGAGAAGACTCCATCTCTTGAAGGAGCTTCAGAGTCACTGGCCATGGGCATTGACACAGTGTGGAGCGAGAACTGGGGCCATTATACAAGCAGGTCACCAGAGAGAGTCATTTAACAGTAGAAGGCCCACTTTCCCAAAGGATTTGTGGCCACCGCCTTTGTTAGAAATTCCATGGGCATAGCGAAACATTTTCCCCACAATTCGATTCCATTTTTGTGCTTTTTTTTTTTTTTTTTTTTAAAGCTTTGGAAAACAAACAGGAAAGCTTCGGACCCGATGAAGTTATTATTTGGTGCTTTTATCACTTCCAATTGAAAAGACACTGCATCTTAAAAAATTGTGAAGTTTCAGATGACCCAAGGGGAAATTTTTAAAGTTCTATTAGAAGCCACATGGGGCACACTTCTGTTGCGATATAAGCCCAATGTAAGTGTACACTTTATTCTTTCCCTTCTTGGGAACGTCATTATTATTTCCATTTCATTGTTTTCAAAGTAATTGAAAATGGTCAATTTCATGTTCCTCTACAATAAACATGTTGAGTCGAAAATTTCAAATTTAGCTATTCTCCTGTTTGGTAATATGATTTGTATTGGGAGCCATTTACAGTAAATGAACTGCTTGAACTAATAAACCAGACAATCACAGAGTATATGCACTTGTCACTTATTATTTAAATCCCATTTTTCAAAGACAGTTCATAGTAATTTGTAATGAAAATGAATAAATAATAAATTTTTTGAAATAGATATAGAAGCACAAACAAAAGAGAAAAGTGAAAATCAAAAAAAATTCTATTATAATAATAGAATTATAATAATCTAGCACTAACTTAGGTTTTATGTTTCCTACTTAGAAACAACTGAACTTCCAAATTACAAAATTTTAATTTATTCCTATTCAAAATAGTGATCTTATTGAAGGGTCAATAACACAATAGTGACACAAATAATTTGCCTTTAGTAACCGTTAAAGTTGTTAAATTATTTACTTTAAAAATGTAGGTAGGGTAGATTTGCTTTAACCCGCTTTCTTTCTTGAGTAGGAAATAAAGATGTTTTGGCACAACCAAGCTGCTATTGTCACATGTTACTATGTAAAAGGCATGTGATGCGTGTGTCAGAGGTGGAAAAATTGAAAGCTGCCGCTGTACATGGTGGGGAGCCTTTCACCAGGACCTGCTGTTATGGGCTCTTTGTATTAATTTAAGATCTCAGGGGAATATCATGCACTTCCAAAATGGTGAGAGGTGCAGGGTCACCTCCAAGGGGATGATGTAATTGTTGAGCAACAATAGACAAATGCTTATGATATCACCACCACCTGGAAAAAAAAAAAAACCTTGAAAAGGAGTTCCAAGCTCATTAACTGATTGATTTTCACAAATTCATTAGAGTCTAGTAAGGTATTTTCTTCATTTTGTCAATGAGGAATTGGAACCTTGAGAATGAAATACCTTGCTAAATACCATGAATGGGAACTAGTCTGATTATATTGGATCAGAATACTTGTAGACTGCTCCAAATGACCTGAGTTGACTTTGGTGGAGACCAGAGTCCTTCATCTGATTTTTTCTTGATTAGATCAAGCCAACTCTGTCCTGAGTGTCCTGATCCACAATGAAAGTGAATATGAGCTCACAGTTGGTGAGGGCAAAGATCCTCATTGCCCAACATGTCTCTGTGCTGAGTGCATTGAACCATTTGTGTGAATGTTTTAAGGAGGTACCAGGACTGGAATGGAAGCATCAAATTCTTAAAGCCTTGCTACAGTAACTGAAACTAAGAGCTGGATGATGGTAAGAGAGATACCTGTCCTGTCACCATGTATATGGATCTCATTACTGAAATGCCATTAGCCTGGAATGCAAAGTATTGTGGCTCTCTCTCTCTCTCTCTCTCTCTCTCTCTCTCTCTCTCTCTCTTTCCTGGTGATTCACTATCTGAAATGAAAAACTTTATCTAAAGCAACAGAAAGCAGATGGTATTCATGTATAAGAGAACCAGCTCAGAGTTATACACAGCTGTACTTCCTTCTCTGGGGCCACAAGTTGAATTTGATTATATGTATGATTCATTTCCAAAATGACACATCCTTAACATCACCATGAAGCACTGAGCTTTTGGTGATGATGAAGCTATTCTTTGTCCTGAAAAATAATGCTGCCTTGTCCTACTTACTCAGGGAATTAATTGCAGACCAGAGTGAGGTGTTTTTAAACAGGATCAAGATTTTCTTTAAGAACTTAGGAATGAGAATAACAGAAGTGTTTTTAAAGACAATCAATGATACCAGAATGCAACAACTCTGAGATTATACCAATATTGGATCTGGTTTTGGTAAATGTATAGTGTACCACATTAAAGGATGATCTCTAGCCTTAGATCTGAGTTTAAATTCTTAATTATTGTGCAAGACTGAAAAGTTATTTCATTTTCCCCTTAAGATTGGATAATAATATTTATCTTAAAGAATTGTGAGCATTAGATAAGATTATGTAAATAAGTCTTTCACTACAATTCTAGGCATGTGATAAGCACTTAGTAACATAATTGAAAATAAAAACATCAATCTGAAAGTTAGGATACTTATTGGGCTCTTCTGATTATAACTTGCCTGATTTTGAAGACACAATAGAAATATAAGGTATTCAGAAGAACTTAAACTTGGAGATCATGAGATATTCTTAACATCAATATATGTTTCATTTTTTGGTACTATCTATGGTGTCTTATTGAGCTACCAACTTATGGTAGGCAATATGAATGATAAGGTTAAACATAGCAATTATTTCTCTCTTTCCTTTATCTGTATATCTGTCTTTTGCTGATGACAGGTAGCCTCTAATTTACTAGAGCTGTTCGAACAAAATGCACTATTTCTAATCTCTCAGTAGTCTAAAAACCAAATTGGTAAAGAGATGATTAAGCTCTTGTGTTTAGAATTTAAAAAGTGAATAGGAGTTTCTAAGAGCTGACTATTAATAACGCCTCAGTCTTATAATTTTTTAAGGTTATTATTCATGTGGAGAGAAAGGCTAGTATTTCAACACACTACTCTATACCAAAATTTTGCCCCCCATTTTTGCACCGTTAGGGACTGTTCTTCCCTCCCACCGGAGGTCAAGGTTTGAATAATCACCAGGCAGTTAACTAAGGCAACACGGGCTCCTGCTGTCTTGTTCCAACCTCTGACTCCCTGCTCTGTGAGTGGTAATTGTCGAGCAACAGGAGAGCTGGTGCAGTCTTATAGGAAAGTAAGACAGATGTGGAAGTCAAGAGGCTTAGTTTACATCCCAGGCCTTGCCACTCCTGATTTCTGGAACTCCAGCTTTGCAATTTCCCATTCTCAAATAACAACACATAGAGGCTTCTTCCTGAAGAAAACATTTCTTATCACCAATTAGCTACCCAGCTCAAGCTGAATGTGTTTGCTGGTAAATTTGAGACTCTTGGCTGGAAAGCTAGGGGAGGGAGCCCTTGCTCTCTGGGTGAGGAAAGAGTGCTCTCTCTCTTATGACAGACTCTGGATCTGGGAAGAATCTGTCTTCATTTCCATCATCTGGGCATCCTTTTTATTCTAACCATACTTGACCAGCCTGGGCAGGAGAAATTAACACTAGTGCCCTTTCCAGATAGGTTCAGGATGTCTTGAAATGGAAAACAATCGGAATTTTAGCCTGCGGGGAGAGCTTAGACAGAGTTGTCCCACGGCCTCATTCCAAGAGGTTATATTCCAGAGAGGCTGGTGATTTGTCCAAGGACTCGAGGTGAATCAGCATGAGAAACAAGGTGAGAATCCAGTCCCAGGCTCTTCAGCTGGGGTCAGGGTGATCATGATCTATCTGCAACACCCTCACACATGTGATGTCTTAAATTATCCCCACATAGCCGACTGTACTGAAATGCATTATATGAAGGCACAAGCATCATCACCTGAATCTCCAGTTCCTCATCTGTAAAGAATGACTAATTTGAGCAATCTCTGCGATTTGAAAGTGACAGATGGCATAATATATATCAAAAGCCCTGTAATTTATAAAGGAATTTTCAAATGTTGGTTGATATCATTATCCAAGTTTCTGTGTCAATGTAACTCAACTATCAATTGAGCTTAAGTTTGGGAAATAAAGACAGAATTAGTTATCAGAAACCATGAATCTGAAACTGTGCTGTTGTTGAGTGTGGAGAGATATTGGGACAAGGCAGATAGAACAACAACAACAAAGTACCAGTATTTTACTTTTATAGATGATGCCTCTCCCAAACTTTTGGAATGTTTTGATATATTACTTTCTTCACTGACCATGACAGCATAAAATCTGACTATTACAGACCAGCAAGAAATTGTCCTCAAGAATAGAACCAGAGATGGGGAAGGCAGAGATAAAGTTGAAATACAAATCGATTGTCCAAAAATTTTTTATTTTGAAATGATTCTACATGTAAAGAGATTTAGAATAATTGACTATTAATTGACATACTATAAAATTCAAAATATACCTTAGTATTTAAAAAATATTTCCAAAATAATAAAACTCAAATAATATCATTTTAAGTTGATGATCAGAGAAGAGAAGTGCATTGGGAGAGGACTTGATTAGTTTTTGCTGGGTTTTTGTTTTTTGTTTTGGATGATCCAAATCCTAGGTGGGATAAGGAGAAGTAGATTGACAACAGCATAGATTGGGGAACTTGTCCACATTAGAAGTGACAATTTTGAGAACATTTCCTTCAATATGGATTTTGCTGACTCTGATAGATATATTGATTCTCTGTTTCCAAAAATATCAATGGCTTCACTCATATTCTTTGCATAAAGATCTGAATTATTGGTTATAGCTTTTTGGGTGCTTTCTGAAATAAGGATTGAAAAAAACTAAGTAAGATAGGTAGTTTCATTGATTCTTGCACTCATTCTACAAATGGTTTCCGTTTCTTCCTTCAAAACACATTCACTGAAGTTCCAAATACATTCTGGTGTGGAAGCATCTATTGAATTCCATGTTAGTTCAGGGCATCAAGCCAAACCAAAAGGTAACACTATGAGACTATGTATAACTTTCTGCAGTGAATTAAATTTGGCCTGCAACAGTTAGTTCTTAGAAAATTTAATGCTGATTGAGGCAGCTGAAGAAGAGACTTCTTCCTCTGGTTACTAGATGCTAAGAAGATAAAAGATGGAGCTGACAAACACAGTGTTCTGTTGATTAGGCTGGGACTCAGCTCCTTTGCCTCAGTCGACTGCATTGGCCAACCTGCAACTTCTCAAGGAATCACAGCATGAAATAAAGACGAGATGAGTCATAGTCCTGCGTGGTACTGATCAAACTGGCTTTTAGGTATGATTCATGAGGACTTTAGCTTTGGGAATCATAAGTCTTTCTTCTTATTCGAAAGTTGAAGAGAAAGAAACTTTGATTCTGAATTGTGATCCTGTGATTCAACAACAAAAAACATGTTCACATTGTGTTGATCCTTTATATTCTGAATTATGTTAAATAAGTGATTAAACTTCTCATCCAATTTGCCTTAAATCTAAGGGAAGCAATTGTCTAGCCGCTCTAGCCCTGAGCTAGAAGAGATAAACCCTAAAGGACTTATTTATTTGATTTTTAAATTAACTGCCTTTGCTAAAATGCCTAGGATACAGGCGCCAAGGCATCATTAAGTATAAAAATATTTAGGCCAAGAGATGACAGTGGTAATGCAAGGGAGAAACCAGGGCAATTGAACACAGCACTAAGATAATGTTGCCTCATTTGTACATTGAAATAGTCAGGTTTTAAAATAATGGTCTAAAACAGAAACTAGGCCACTCGATTCACACCAGGGTGAGCATTAGATAGATAGGGCCCTTCCTTCCACAAAGGACCAGTGCTGGGGAAAATTGGCTATTTTCTTGGGCTATAAACAAACAAAATGAGTGACAGAATGCCATAACCCGTTGTCTCAGCGGTGGAGAAGATACACAGAAGGCTTGATCTTTGAGATTGTCAGGATTTTCTTATGTCTCATCATCCCAAGTGTGGAATGCTTAAAAAATTAAATGTAGTATATCATAGATAATTATGAAATTTATAATATAATTATGTAGTAATGATATGATTATATTACAAAATAATATTAATTAATTTTGATTCATAGGAGACTGTAAGCTCTACATTATTATTTTCAACTGTTTTTCATGCACCTGTGTTAATTTCATGGAAATATTTGCAGAATTTAAAACTTGGGACTTGGTAGATTAATATTATATGAGGTCCCAAATAAATTTAGCACATGCAGTGGGTATGTGACAATATCATTTTTCTACTGGATTATCCTCTCCCCACTTCCAATAGCGTTTGGGTTTCATTGGGAGGAGTTTCTCCTTGGGGGAGGGGGCATCCTGCTCACAGAGCACCCTCCTCTCTTCTGCCTGGTAATCTGTAGAGGGACTCTGTAGCTTAACCCTGACTGACTGGGTGTTTTCTTTCAGGTCTTTGAACTTTGAAAGCGTGAAGCAAGGGCAGAAGAGATAGTGGGATAGAATTCTTTCTGGGGACAACTATGGAGAAAAAAAAAACATACAGACTTTGCTGAGACAGTTACAGGTTTCCAGGTCTTAATTTCTGAAACTCCCTTAAAATCTCATTCTCCAACTTTCATCAACTTTTTCAACCCCTGAATTCTTTCTAATAATTTCTCTTTGGCTCAACTTAAGAATCCATTTTTTGTTACTTGCACCATGAAAGAACAACCACTTGACTGTGGAAGTTAAACACGACCAGATTTCAGGGAGGACTCTGCAGTGACCTGCAAGTTTCCCTGCAGAGTAGGGTTACTACCTTTTGGAAGCTCATGGGGATATTTTAAGAATGAGGGCACTTTGAAAGGAGCTGTATGATATTAGTATTCATGTACCTTTCATGCCTGATAGCAATTCTTACCAAGGATGAATTTCTCCAGGAAAACATAAGACCTTCTGAAACACTATATAGCTAGTCCCTACAAAGTAGGATTAGAAGCATACATTTCTGCCCAAAGAAGGAGGCATAAAACTGTTTATAGAAGCACACTGTGGTCTTACGTTCTTTTTAATTAAATAGGAGCTATACAATTTTTAATTATTATTTTAATTGTATATATTTATGAGGTACTATTTCATAATTTGATACATGTATATGGGGTGTAACAATCAACCAGATCTTTAAATAGATTTTTTGAAAGTTTTGGTTAACATGTAATATTATACATGTTCATGGGATACAGTGCAAAATTTCAATCCATGTATACATCTGATTAAACCAAGGAAATTGTTTTTTTCTTCTTCTTACCATTACTTTAAGTTTGGAGCCTTTGTGCTCCTCTGTCCTAATTATTCATAAAATATGCAGTTTATTATTGTGAGCTATGGTCGCCTCGTTGCTCTGTAGGATATTAGGACTTATTTCCTCTAACTCTGTTTTGGTACCCATTATTCAACTTCTTATTGATGCTTGTTCAGATCTCTTTATTTACATATCTACAGTAAAGCATTCAGCAGGGCAGAATTAGAAGCATACCTCCATACCTGCAGGAGACTGGAAGCCCCTCAGTCCAGCCCATTTCCTGATGCTGTAATCTTCTTCACCACTCGTCCTGCCCAGCTGTGTTGCTAGTTGAACACCCCCAGTTACTGAGCATCCTATGCCCCCCAGGACAGCCTACTGTGCTTCTGGACAGTGGTTCTTGTGCAGTCTTCTTCTTGAACTTGACTCCAAATCAATCTTCCTTTTAGTGGTGCACATGCTAATAATGATAATAATATCATCCTACATCCTTCATCAGTTTACAAAGATCCTTTCCATGTATCTTCATTTGGCGAGGAGCCAAGTGAGTGTAAATCCATGAAGAAATCTCAATAACATCTCAGGGCTCTCCCGTTAGTAAAGATCCCAATTCCTGTGTGTCAGAAAAAGACAGTTACTGGATGTCAGTCATGGGAGCCTGTGGTAAATGTCTGTCTTTTAAACTCCTCAGGGGAGACACACAAACCCTGGAGGGAAGCTCCATGCTTCAGTCATCCAGATACTTACTCTGGTGGCCTGTATGCTCCAGCTTCCCCAGGTGGTCGTCTCTCAACCCCTTTCCTTAGGATAAACATTCTTCCCCTCATTCTCTACTGATGGTGGTGTCTACAGAGGGTTTCCTTATCACATCTGGTTCCTGTAGACCACACTAGATTCCCCACTGAGGAGGCCACAAGCTGCTAGTAGTGGGACTCTGGATATTCCTATATGGGCCTTCCTTGAAGCAATTTCAAGATCCCTGGGAGGATGTCAATCTATTTCCCCATTGACTGGTGATTATCTTTTATCCAATTCAGTTGATGTACTTTATCTCTTTATATTCAATATTGATAACAACTAGGAAAAGGGAGATGGGAGTTAGGAAGTAGATGCATGCCAGAGCAGGATCATTTTTTTCATCTGTCTTAGTTGGGAAAAAAGCCAGTCAAAGTGCAGAAGGTATATTCCTCTTAATCAGGAGGAATTTTTGCTTTCTCTTTTTGGGAACTGATTAATTTTCAAGCATATTAGCATTTTTACAACAGGTATAAATATTATAATGCTATTTAAAAGAAGAAAGTAAGTACAAATGATTAATTGGTACTAGTGGTTTATTATTATTATTATTATTATTATTATTATTATTATTATTATTATTATTATTATTATTTTGATACTGGGAATTGAATGAATCATAGGCACTTTTAATGATATCCCCAGCCCTTTTTATATTGTTATTTTGAGACAGGGTCTCACTAAGTTGTTGAGGCTGCCTTTGAACTCTTGATCCTCCTGCCTTGGCCTCCCAAGCTGCTGGGATTACAGGTGTGTGTCACTGATCCTGCATCACTAATTAATTATGACAGAACAAATGCTTCTCATTCTGTTGACCCTTTGGTTGACTTAGTAAAAGTTTTCTAAGCCTGTGCCTTAATAGGTGTAGATCTGTTTCTTTATGAGGAGTTACAGAGAAACCTTTGCATTGTTCTGGAAGAATAAGAATTTATTGAAATATTGTCTTCTATATGAACAAATGCACAAGACCTTAACTGAAACAGACTTCATGCCCACTCCTCATAATTAGTTTAAAATTAAAAGTCTCTGAGTCCCACAGGAAGTGAAGGTGGGTATCAGAGTCAACCTCATTGCCAGCTGCTATCTGAATGGTAATTCGTTGGCTTGTGTTTGGGATGACATAGTAAAGAGGAGGTATCCTAAACTTAAGGGTAAGGCTTTCATCCACCCTAGATTTTCTCTCTCAAAGTATTAACAGTTACATTTTCTCCTTTAATAGGATGACTGTCATATTAACAGGAATCAATGAAGTCTCCTGATGAACAAACTACTTGTTGGGTAAACTTTGCTGTTTAAAAAGTCAATAAAGCAGTGTTCTCCATGCCGTCTCTTTAGACATGGATATTGCTTTGTTTTACAGAATGATTCTTTGCAGTGCTTTTTGACTGTATCACCATGTCAATACTCTATTTTTCATGGTATTAATAACTCTTCCTTCTTGGGGAAAATGTTAACAAGGATGGAAATGATGTTACACTCTTCTGTGACCTTCAGGTGTTTGAAGAAAGCTAATGATTTCAGGATTTGATTTCTATGTGTTACTATTTCTTTCCCTGGCTTGATTATTATACAGCACCTGGAACATTATTCATGCTTTTATTTCACAGCAAATAAAATAATGATACAAGGTACAGAAATGAGCATTGGATGTGGTGTGAGAAGAGCAAAAAGTTAAAGGTTACCTTTGTCACTCACTGGGTAAACATACACTTCCATTCTCTGCACTCTCTTATCTTCATATGTAGACAATGGAGGAGATTATACTCCCTGGTAAACAGACAGGGGTGTTGTTTGAACCCAGCTGTAATAATGAAGGTAAAAAGTCTGGAAATGGAAACCACAAGGAAGTATTATGTGGCATTGTCACTATGAACTGGTTATCTTCCAGGTCATTTTTCAATCAGTTGTTTGGAATGCAAAGACATTTCCTAGAAAGCATCACATGCGGAAAAGATTCTCAAATGTATTCAATGGTGGAGCTCTTGAAGGCATGGTGCTCTCTGCAGAACATGATGAAACACCAACATATTTAGTTTTGTCATAGAAATGGGAATATTCAGATAATGGAAGATATCAGTTCAGCACACAGATGTGATATTAAATCCCAAAGAGCACATGTCCATGAACATAGTATTTCCACTATGTCAGAGGCTCTTTTTGTCTTCAAGCTCTTGATGCCTTATCATCTGCTAGACTGGCTTGCAGATAAAAAGCAAAGGTTGGCAAAGATTTAAGAAACACCAACTGAGAAAATTTAAATTGAGAATATATTCCATGTACATGGCTTCTGTTCTGTTCTTCTCCTCTATCCATACCAGCACAATTGGGACAGAACTAATTCATGAATCATCAGAGATATGTGGGAGTAGAAATAGAGGACCAACATAAGGGAGACTCTGTACCCAGCAAACTCACCAATGTCTATGTGATCTACAATGTGTCTCTTCTAAATATTGCCTGACTCTTTACAGATAGATAAAAATATAGAAACAGGCAGAGATAAAATGCAGTTTTGGAATAAAGGTGTTCTAGGCTCTACCTAAATCTCTTGAGACTAGATTTGTAGCATCTATATAGTACATAGACAAAAGGAGAGTATCCAATTCAAATCTGTTGACTAAATCAATGAATAAGTTAAGGAATAAAATGAGATGAGGGCCAGAAACATGACTTTAATGAAGGGAGAGAAAATATGGATAGCAGACTACCTAGTAAAGATGGATTCTGATGTGGATATAGAAACTTTTCCACTTCCTCTGAGCTTCACCCACATTTTTCTGCTCACTCTGTGCTGGATAAGAGCACTTAGATGAACAATTAAAGGGTTCTTTGGTAAGGACAATGTGCTTTGAAGAGGTGAGGGGTTGGGTGGAGAGGA